CTTCGCGCATGCATGTGATGCTCTGATCGGGCTGGGCGCTGAAAGGTGATGAAGGGCTAGTTTGTCAGGGCTTTTAGAGGGCTCATGGCTATAGGATTCCAGACTCGCTGACAGACCTTGCATCCGAGAAAACATCAGACAGCCAATTCGGCCTTCTCCCTACCTACTTACTTGCAGCACTGCCAATGAAGTTTCCGAGTACGGGTGGCAGGCCCCTGCCTGCTAAGAAGGTCGGCCTGGGTGCCTCTGATTGTGTGGCTGCAGCTGGTGATTGCGTTTGCACTCTGTTTTCCATGTTAGAGGACAGCACAATTTGCTTTGGTGTCTTCGAACTCATCCGACTCTTGAACGCCTCTTGCTTCCCACTCGGCAGCTCAGCGCGGCCAGCCTCCGTTTGTGTTTGACGCATGGGTGGGTTCCCGCCTTTTTTTGCGGATGTTCAACACATAGAAAAACGTCCACGCTTGCCTTCGAACCCCAGCACTTATTTATAATTACAATTTCGAAATCAAGCGTCACGCCGAAAGGAAGGCTTACAGCGGCAGGCCTCCTTTCAAGGGTTCTGATGAGGGGTATGTAAGGGGAGGCCCATATGAAGGGGCCATGTATCTGCCCTAAGATGAAAAGAAACACTACAGGAGGGTGAACCTTCCAAAGCCTGCAAAGAAACAGCTCTATCTTGAGGTGAGTATCTCCTTTTGGATCAGAAGGCGAACGACCGGGACGTCTACCGAAAGGCCGCCGGCTTTCCTTTGCTTAACGGTTTTTCGGGTGTCAGGCTAAGGTTCTGGTTGAGGGTTTTGTGGATGTTTGTGGGATTTCTGCTTCTTGACAAGATGCTGGTTTGCCAGCAGTACCATAGTTATCAATGCCGGATGAACTGTGTTTCCTGGGTTGCATGGTTTGCTCAAGGGCCTTTTCTTCTGTTGATTTGATGGTTTAGGGGGTTGTTTCATGTGGGATAAGCTTCTTCGTACACTTCTTGCGCATGTAGAAACCCGCTTCACTACTGGGTTTTGAAGGGGCACTACCAAAGGTCGTTCGATGACTTCATGGCAACCAGTCGCCGAAGTACACCTAGAGTTTAAGGCCCAAACCTGCAAACCTTAAAGCCCTAAAAGCGCAGTTCTGGGAACTCTTCTGTCTGCTATAGACTATAATTTATTAACCCCCAAGCCCCATGTCGCCTCGCTTTGCAGCAGGTGGTACCCTCTGCGCGTGGGACCCTTCATATCTTCTACCACAAGAACCCGAAAAAAGGTGGGGGTTTTGGGTTTGGGCAGGGGGCGAGGGTTTTCCTAGGAGTCGGGGGGAGGGGTGGTGGGGGACAGAGGGGGCTGAGAACTCAGGGCTTTTGGTAGGCAATGGAAGTGTTCAGGATGTCAGCAGGATGTCAGCTTCGGATGCAGGTTGACTGGTTTGGAGTACCTGTTGGATTCCATCAGATGCTTGATTCGAACGCAAGTTATTGGTCTGCAGAGTCTGGGGAGTAGGATCTCAGACTCGGCTTCGAATCCGATTGCTTGGCCAAACAACAGTTGCTGCAGACGTGCCGCTGCAGATGGCCACGCACACTCCCCAGCCCTGAACCCAGCACCCCAAATTTGGGTCAGTGAATGTCAGTGACATCGTGACAGGCTTTAGGTAACTGTTGTAAGGAGTAGGGGATTTCTGGCTAGAGGTGTACTTCTTCTGGTTCCCATGTCAATGCAGGACCTTTAAACTAGGCACTAAAAACCTGCGAGCCATCACTGCAGTCTGGAGGGTACACGTCCTAAGTGCGGCACATATTGAAACCAATCTTCTTGGCAGGGTGGTCTGTGGGTTACGACCCGGCCAGCGACGAGGAGCGACGAGTAAGCTGGGCGCAACTCTATTTGCAGGTTTCTGTTCAGCAGCATGAAATCGTCCATTCTCGTTGAAATAGCCCCTCACTTCTTGAACCCGCAATCCCCTGAAACCCTCACAACTGGTTGTTTGCTTCTGCCGACCCACCCTACATAGACCCCCAAAAAGACCCCCTAAACCCTAAACCCTAAACCCTAAACCCTAAACCCTAAACCCTAAACCCTAAACCCTAAACCCTAGATACCCTGAACCTAAACCCTTAACCCTTAACCCTTAAACCCTAAACCCTAAGCCCCAAAATCCTCCCGGATAGCCATGGCTACTGCAGGATCCCTCGGCCTACTTGGGGCCCTCCATGGCCTCGGATCCCTGCTCCAAGTCGTACTCCTGGCATGCTTAGGGTTTAGGGTTTAGGGTTTAGGGTTTAGGGTTTAGGGTTTGGGGTTTGGGGTTTGGGGTTTGGGGTTTGGGGTTTGGGGTTTAGGGTTCAGGGTTCAGGGTTCAGGGTTTAGGGTTTAGGGTTTAGGGTTGTAAGGTTTACTGTAGGATCCTGGGCCAAGCTTTCAAAGCTACCAGGAGAGCTATCAATGGCTTGGGTTAAGGGCTTGGGTTTGGATTGAGGTTTAGGGTTTAGGGTTTGGATTAGGGCTTGTGTTGGTGTCTTCAGCTCGGGATCTGGAGTCAGGTTTGGATTCTGTCTTTTCTTTTTTGTGCCGGGGGATAGGGGGGGTTGGGGGAGGTGGGGGTGGGGTGGGGGTGGGTGGGGGTGGGGTGGGGGTGGGTGGGGTGGGGTGGGGGGGGGTGGGGTGGGGTGGGGGTGGGGTGGGGTGGGGGTGGGGTGGGGTGGGGGTGGGGTGGGGGTGGGGTGGGGTGGGGGTGGGGTGGGGGTGGGGGTGGGGGTGGGGGTGGGGTGGGGGTGGGGTGGGGGTGGGGTGGGGGTGGGGGTGGGGGGCTTGGTGTGCTAATTCTTCGGGCGGGGATGGATCATACGAAAGGAGGCACGCCAATCCTAACCCAAACCTTCAAGCCCAAAACCCCTGAACCTTAAAACTCTGAAAGCCCCGAGGCCCTGAGGTTCCAAGCCATCCCCCGTCGCCAGGTTTTCTCAGTTCTGGGAGGTCCAGCACTCAGAGGCAGTTTCTAGTGTTTTGCCAGGTCGTCTGTAGGGTGTGGAGCATCCCGCACAGGCTGCACTTTAGGGCTTTCAGTAAATTGTCGGGTTCAGAGATAAACGAATACAGACCCCCCCCCCTCCCCCCACCACCCCCAAAGTGCGTTTATTTCGCTGAAGCAGCGGATCCGGCTTCTTGAGGCTATGGTCGATCTTGTGGACCCTCTCCGCAGCAATCCATTTCCTGATTCCCCTTTCTGCGGCCAGGATTCCTTCTTACAAACCCCGTTGAACGGCCACCGAGTTTGGCATCGAGCCTTTTTTTGCCTCATTTGTTTTTTGTTTTGGCGGGGGGGCTGGGGAGGGCTAGCCGTCCTTCAGGCTGGGAACGTTCAGGGGGTCCGCTCCCCGGTTCGCTCCCAACTATAATTAGGGTTTAGAGTTTTGGGGCTTGGGGGTTTAGGGTTTAGTGGGTTGTGGGTTTAGGGTTCAGGGTTTAGGGTTTAGGGTTTAGGGGCACACCCTGCTTCTCAGGTGCAACAAAGCTACACCTTCGGCACGACCACCCGATCTTACTACTCACCCTGCACGAGCATGCAAGGGCCCCAACACTTTCGACTCACAAAGCAGGCAAGGCTTTCCAGGCTTATGCAAAGTTTAGGTTTCATCGGCTTCAGGCATGTAGGCTTCAGGCAGTTTAGGGTTTTGGGTTTAGGGCATGTGGCTTGAGCTGAGGGAGACATAGGGGATCAGAGACATGGGGAGGTTGTAGCCCCAGGCGATTGACCGGGGACCTAAACCCTTGTAAGCCCTAAACCCCCAACTGCAAAGCACGGAGCGTGTGTAGCTGGTGCTGCCGTTGAGGCGGGAACCCTGAGAGTGAGGCCCCAAAGCGAAGTCATAGAGCAAAAGCCATGAAGGCCCTGAAGAACCCTAAAACCTTGTTGAGTTTGTTCGGATCCCGTGGGCAAGGTAGAGGTGTAGAGGCTGCTGGGGTCTGGGAGGCTTCCGTTCAGCGTTCCCTAAACCCTAAACCCTAAACCCTAAACCCTAACCCCCAACCCCTAAACCCTAACCCCTAACCCCTAACCCCTAAACCCTAAACCCTAAACCCTATAAACCCTAATAAACCCTAAACCCTAAACCCTAAACCCTAAACCCTAAACCCTAAACCCTAAACCCTAACCCTAAACCCAGACCCTTTTTTGTTGTTTTAGGGCTTCGGGTTTAGATTCCGTCCGTCAATGGGTGATGGGCTCTGCGGGGGCAGCCAGGGTTCAGGATTCAGGCGTTTGGAGCTTCGAGTGCAGTGTTGCAAGGGGCTGTTGGGCTTGAACTACTCCCGACTGCAAACCTTGACCCTTATGAACCCTAGACCCTAGTTAAACCCGCCTAAACCCTAAACCCTAAAACATAAACCCTAAACCCGTCAGTCCGAGGACGCTCACCAAACATCAGCGCACGGAGTAAGGGCTGCAGTCGGCGTGCTGGCTCTGTGCCTCGGGGGCAGGCGGCGCAGTGTTAGAATTCTGGGTTTAGGGTTTAGGGTTTTGTTGGGTTGAGCTTCTCTTGGTTCAGCCTTCTTTTTGTTAGGGTTCAGGGTGTGGGGTCGGGTTTCGTTGAGGCGTCTGCATAAGGTTTGGTTGGGGGTGGGGGGTGGGGGGGTCGTAGTTTAAGGTTTGACCTGGATCTCGGGTTCAGCTTGAGCTTCGTGATTCTCAAGAGCCGCATCGGCATGGCCCTGTCGTCCCTGAAACGACGTCCTCTTCAGGTTGCTTATGCAGATGTTACAAGGCCTGCTGACGCATCCTGATTCTCCAATGCACTCACTGTCAGCGGACGCCTGATATGCTCTTTCGTTGGTGTTTTCGAGGGGTAATTTAATGAATGCTTTACGTAATCTGAACAGCACAATGGGATGCCGGAGGTTTACCTGTGGAGATTTCAAACTGCGTGCTGTTCTGTACGAAGCTCTCTCCGTGCGCACGAGCCTCGGTTCAAGCATTCACCTTCGTTCCAGACCCTCCCCTTGGCTGGTTCCATGCAGTGCTGTGAGCCTGCCATAATCGATGAGAAAGACACAGTGACCATCCCCGCAGAACCCACGCCAGCAGCCGAGACTGACTTGCCGGGGTCCACCCAAGTGGAGTCGCCCGACGAAACAGCCCCGACAGATGCCGTGGAGGCAGTCGATAAAGAGGAGGACGCGCCGGCAGTGCCAGAGGAGGTGGCAGAGCCTGTGAAAGCCAAGCCCACAAAGGCGACACTTGGCAAGCTCTTCTCTCAGGTGGATGGCGTGGAGGCTCTGGTTTTGGTCGTCGGCTTGCTCTGTGCCATGTGCCACGGGATCGCACAGCCGCTCCTCGTCGTCATCTTCGGTGACCTTATCGATGCTCTCGGAGGGAGTGAGGAGGAGGTCCAGCGGGAAACCGAGCGCCTCTGCCTCATCATGTGTGCCGTGGGCGGAGGAGCTCTGGTGGCGGCAACACTGCAAGGGGCCTGCTTCAAGATCTTCTCCGACTCGCAGACCATGAAGTTCAGAATAATGTATCTTAGGGATACTTGGAAATAGTTTTTAGTTTTTGGGCACTATACTACCTAAGAAACAGCTAACATCAATTTTTTGCTAAGTTCAGAATAAGGTATTTCCAAGATGTGCTGCACCAGGACGTCGGCTGGTTCGACACCAGGGAAGTGTCAGCCTTGTCGGCCGAGATTCAGGACGACTTGTCCAAGATCCAAGACGCCTTTTCTGATAAGTTCGGTAACGGTCCCTGGGTTGGACTTGGCAACATTTGCACCCACCTCATACGCTCGGGTTCTCGGTTGCCGTAGTTTTGGCCGTGCATTGCTTAAGCATGCTTAAGCTGCGGTTACATGGTGGAGGCCGTGAGGATTCCGAGTCACCTTGCGTAAGCCGCTAAAAGATCCAGGTTCCCTTGATACGCCGTCCTAGGACCCAGAGTAGGCCCCAGGCCGTTGTTCCCTTTTTGTTAGGCTTTGGGTTCCCTCATAAGCCCGTTTAATCGAAAAAGGGCACCCTTCCTATTCTTGGGTTACTCCTGGGTCCAGCTTCGAGGTGTGATGGCTTCGTCAGCATTTCTGGGGGGATTCGCCTGTGCTTTCGGCCTTGGCTGGTTGCTTGCACTCATCCTCTCGGCCGTGCTTCCCTTCATGGCCCCTGGGTGTGAGCTTCCGTAAGGGTTTTAGGGTTTAGGGGTTAGGGGTTAAATTTAGGGCTTGTTGCTGGGGTTGTGAGGACACTCGTGCACAATCATGTCAGTCCGCGTACCCCAATATTCAGGAACCCCTGCACAATAAGTGTCACAACTGCTTGTCAGTTGTCAAAGGATAATTATTCCTTCTTCCTCCTGTGGCTCAACGGCTTCGTTTTTGCTGCTGTTGCGCTTGCGCTCCTTCTACTCGTTCTGTCTGCATCACTTACCAGCTTTACATAGAACTAGTTACGGAAGCCCCAAACCCTATACCCGGACGCACCAAAACCCTCCTCCCAGGGTGGATGGACTCTGGCCGAGGCTTCTCAACCCTAAGCCCCTAAAGTCCTAAACCTTGAGGGTGCAAGGGCTGAGCCAGAAGAATAAGGCCGTGGGCACCTACTTCATCAGCCAGGCGGTGAACCTTGGACGAATAGGCACCCTGGTTTCCCCCTCTTCTCGGATGCGAAAATAGAGGTACCCTGTTTGCCCTGTTCGTGGGTCAGGGTTAATGTAGTGTTCAGTGTTTGCGGGGTTCTTAGAAGAAGGCTTCTTCGATTTTGGTGGGGGGGGGGGGGGGGGGGGGGGAGGGCGGTATTAAGCTAGGGCTTCCCTATCTTGGGAAATCACCAGCTATCAGTGTGGTTCCCTTATAAACCCAAAGACTTGGGAAGCTAGAAACTTGAAACCGTCAACCCTGAACCCTTCAAGCCTAAGCCCCCAAACCCTTGACGCCCTCCCGGAAGCCCAAGCTCTAAGGCCCCAAAATAACTCTTTCAAACCTTAAGAAACCCCGGGTTTAGGGTTTAGGGTTTAGGGTTTAGGGTTTAGGGTACTGAAGCCCTAAAACCTAAACCCAGGCTACTGGGCACCTAGGAATGAGGTGCAGATGGAATCCCAGGGCTGGTACGCCAAAGCAGCCAGCGTGGTGGAGGATGTTTTGCGTTGTGCGTTTTGGGCTCAGTGTTTAGGGTTTAGGGGTTAGGGGTTATAGGGTTTATAGGATTTAGGGGTTAGGGGTTAGGGGTTAGTGTTATACTGGGTCCTCTTTGTAAGGGAGGGTAGAAGCGAGTTGTTGATTGGGGAAGCCCAAGCTTGAACAACCAGATATTAAATGCGGAGTTGTCCCACGAAGGCCCTAGTACACCCCCTAAGGTTCAAGCCCCCCGGTGTCCAGGGCTTATAGGGTTTCGGGTTCTGATTTGGGGTTTAGGGTTAGGGCTCAGGCCACAGTCTCGTGAAACTGGAGGAGTGCCTCTACGGCATGCGCACCGTGGTGGCCTTCGGCGGCGAGCAGAAGGACTTGCTTTGCAAGTATCCGAACCTTAAACACTAAACCCTAAACCCTAAGCCCTAAACCCTAAACCCTAAACCGCTGTAGTTTCAAGACCGCCCACGGCTAGTTGGGTTGCCGGTGCAGGCCCGACCCCACACCCCAAAACCCCAACCCTAAACCCTAAACCCTACTCCCTAAACCCTAATCCCTAAACCCCAAACCCCTCCAGCCCTGAGCAAGAGGAGCTGGCCAAGTTCTCCACGGCCGTCGCCCAGACACGAAAGGGAGGCATCCGAAACGGGCTCAGGATTGGAATGGGCACCGGCTACTCCTGGTTCGTGGAGTGGCCTGGCATCCCTGATGTCCTTGTCGATATGTGTAGTTGATCTATATGATACGCGTTAACCTAGCGCAGTGAGAAAGTTACTGCAACTTCAAGTTGGGTTAACTCCGATTGATGACCGTTGCTCTCGGCGTTTGTGTTTTGTCTCTCGGCTTTCGTGTGAACGTGTGGGTGCGCTTGTGTGTTTATTCTTCTGTGGGTCCGTGTTTTCTAAACCCGCATTTCATCAGGCACGCTAAAGGACATCCTAAAGCTGTCGCCTCAGGGCTTGATTGGGGAGCAGCTGCAGGTACTCCAACTACGCCTTGGCGTTCTTTGCAGGCATGAACTTCGCCTACAACCGGGATATCAACCCCGCCACTGGCCAGGTGTGGCAAACCGGTGACATCATGCTCCTTAGGCTTCATATGGAGCTCAGCAGGAACAGGAAGATAACGCCTGCAACCATCAGATTTGCAAGTAGGAGTCGCGCTCAGCCATTTCGTCCGCCAAAGCTCGCTCCTCGAGACACTGAAGGAATCTAAAGATGCACCAAGGTCGATCTTCCTCTGCATCTTCATCGGCAGCTTCATGCTGGGCCAAATCGACCCGAGTATCAAGGCGCCACCTTGTGGGAGGGTCCTCAACCAGGCCTTAGACCCTGAAACTTTTCCCTACAAAAGCGCATGTGACGCAAGCAAACAAGACCAACGTCGACCTGCTGACACCTAGAAGAACCTTGTAGCTGAAGTAAGGGCAAACATCTTCTTGCTGTAGGACATTTAGGGTACTCTGGGTTTTACCTGGTTCCTAAGCGTGAACATCAACTCAATCCGCACCCTCAGAAACCTCACTTCTCCAATGCTGAATGCTCTCCACCCTAAACCCTCAACTCAAAACCCATTTTCCCCATGAGCCTCAAGACCCGCTCCTTACCAGTCCCAACGCCTCGGACCCTCAAGCTTCTTCATGCCGACTAGCCCTACAACCACTAACTGTCACTAACTCAAGGTTTAGGGTCGAGGGCTCAGGGTTTAGGACCCAGAGTAACCCGGTCTGCGTGTCGGTTCGAACATTCCGACATCTTCTGCCTTACACTCGGCTAAGCCAGCACTTGTGGTTCGCAGGCCAATAGCCTTCATACTCCAAAGAAGGGGAGCTGCACCTCAGCTCTATGGTATACCCTAGACCCTAACCCCAAAAACCCTATAGCGATAGTTTTTTTAGGTACAAGACTACTGCAGGCAGGGACTCGACATGGCCCCGCAGCTAAGGAAAGAGAGAACCCCAAACTCTGAACGAACCTTCCGGGGTCGGCTTGGGGCATCCTACTAGCCCTTTTTCTCTCTACTCCTAACCTATGGAAGTTCTAAGGCATGATAGCCCATCCTTGTTGCGAGGCCATGCAAGCAGCGCAGATGGCCGCGGACCGGTTCTTCAAGGTCTGCCGAGGGTGAGAAGGGGTACTGATTATTGGGGGCAGGTGCTTTACGGAATTGAACTTTGCAAGGTTCTCGGGTTTCTCTTTTGGGGGGCGCAGCAGATTTCCTGCTTCTGCCATCAAGTTCGTGGGCCAAGTTGCACAGGCCGCCTTTTTCCCCCTAACCAATATGAACCGCAAAGCAGGTTCATGACAACAAGCCCGCCATTCAACGCCGGGACGCCGACGAGAGGAAGGAGATAGCTAGCATCGAGACCTTCTCGTTCAACGCAGTCCAGTTCTACTATCCGGCCCGACCGACGGTGAGAATCCTTGACGGTGTGTCGCTGACCATCAACCGGGGGCAGAAGGTGGCCTTCGTGGGTGAGTCGGGCTCAGGCACCCTGGGGACAAAAATTACCCTATACTACTACAATTCCTACCATATTACCCTATACTACTCTAAATTCCTGCTAAGGTGTACGGACCATAAGCCCTTTTTAGGCTTCATTTGGTCCCTCAAGGCAAGAGCACCGTCATGGCCCTCTTGGAGCGCTTCTACGACCCCTCCTCCGGGGTGGTCTGCGTGAACGGCTTTGACATGCGCGACTTCAAGATCCTTAGCAGCTGAAAGAGTACACCTTACACTTGTTGGGAATCATCCGGGTTTAGGGTTTGGGGTTTAGGGCTTTAGGGTTTGGGGTTTAGAGAACTGCAAGTGTACACTTTTCGGGGGCTTATGAACTCAGCGACTAAGGATCAGTGCCCTCCGAAAGTGCATTGGCTACGTGGGCCAGGAGCCGGTCCTTTTCTCCCAATCCATCCGGGCAAACATCATGCAGGGGAAGCTTGGCTTTGCCCTGCGGAGCTCTTGTTTTTTTTTTTTTTTTGGCGGGGGGGGGGGGGGTGGGTTTAGGGGTGGGTTTAGGGGTTAGGGTTTAGGGTTTGAAGCTCTTATTTTTGGGGGGGCTTACGGACCCCACTTCTCGCAAGCCAAGCTGCCTCACTCACCATGCTGCTTGCTGCTTTTAGCCAAGGAACCCTGATGCCACGAAGGAGCAGTTTCAGCAAGCATGCGCGGATGCACAACTGAACTTTGTGGACGGTCTCCCGGAGAAGTACAACACCTTCGTGGGCGCTGGTGTCTTGGCGTGGACTGGGTCAGCATCCAGTGTCGATGGATCACCACCCCCCCCCCCCCCCCAGCGAATCCTCCACTCCCTCCCAGAGTCTAAGCGCTATAACCCCGTGAGCCCCCCACCCCCTAAAAACCCTAAACCCTAAAACCGAAGTATCACAGCAGCCTCGGAACAAGCAAGTCACATGTTGTTTGGATCGGAGGTAAGAGGACACCCTAACCTTGTTAAGGCACACACCCTGTCTATCCAGGTTTAGGGTTTAGGTTTTAGGGGTTTACGGTTCCTTCCCGAGCTGAGCTAAGCTCTTCAGAGTGGCGAGATGGGGGTTCACGTCAGTCGGAGCTTCGATGTTGGTCGACTTTGTCCCTCCCCCCGCTCCCCCCCCTCCCCCCCCCTCCCCCCCCTCCCCCCCCCCCCCCCCCCCCCCTCCCCCCCCCTCCCCCCCCCCCAAGTCCTTTCCAAATTCATACTATGCTTGATCCGACGCAGGCTGGAAGTCTCATGAGGCATCGGGGAATAGGCTTACAGTGCTTGTGTTCATGAAGGCCTTGTTTGGGGAAATATAGGCTCTTAGACGAAACTGCCTCCTTGTGAAACTGGCTATAGGTTGGTTTTGTTTGTGTCTTTTTTTTCCTTGTTTGGGTTTACAAGGGACCCTATATACAAATATGCTTCAGAGGGTTTGCAGGCGAAATCTTTGGCTGGGCGCCTACACCCGCATCCCAGGAGCCCTGCACCCCCTATTGCACCTACAAACCCTAAAGCCAAAACCCTGAGATCCGAAAAGTCTAAAGCTTGGGATGTTCCCCTTGTCATAGTCCTCAAAAGGGATTACAGTATAAGCCCTATTAAGGACTGTTAGAATAAGGGGGAACATCCCAAACTAAACCCCTAAAACCCGAAATAACCCCCAAAAGCCAGGGCCCAAAGCATCCTTAACCTGGGCCCACCCAAGCCGCCTGAAACCCCCTAAACCCATACCCTAAACCCTAAACCCTAAAGCCTCAACCTACGTCCTTGACCCTCAGGTGGCGGCCAGCTGTCCGGAGGACAAAAGCAGAGGATTGCACTTGCGAGGACCGAAGTCCTGAGTCGAGTCTAGGAGGGTTTACGGTTTAGGGTTTAGGGTTTACGGTTTGGGGTTTAGGGTTATGTGGGGGGTTATCTGGTGTAGAGGGTTTGGAGGGGTTGCGGTGTTTAGGGGGGGTTGGAGGGTTTGGAGGTTATGGTGTTTAGAGTGGTTTGGGTAGAGGGTTTGGGGATTGCTACATTTTCGTAGATCTTTTTTTATCACCAGAGAGGGTGTCAAGAAACCCGGAAGTACTCAAACCCAATACGTGCCCCGTGTATTCAGGCCCGTTGAACCCTGTGGGTTGCACGGGAGCCCAGGTTTATTATTTAACCCGAAGGCTTATATGTGCAGCATATATGTATATATATATATATATGTATTTACACATAGATAAGTAGACATGATGTTTAGGGTTCAAGCTTTCCAATGCTGGTGTTGAGGTGAGATATTTAACTTTTTGCCTTGGAGCCCTGGTTGAAGCTGCACTCAGACCTCCCCTGGGCTTGTCGACGGTGCTTGTGCCTTTTCCCGGCTACAATAGCACGGCCGGATCTGAATACTGCAGCTTGATAGTAGCTCTATAGAGCCACGAGATCTTCGCTTCTCTGCGCCTTGAATCACCTTCCTTCGCCCGAAGCTCAAACCCTGTTGGGCCGGTCTTGACTCCCGTGCCAGGGCCTTGCTGAAGGAGGCTTCCTTCCTCTTCTTGGATGAGGCGACCAGTGCCCTGGACAACACGTCCGAGAAGATGATCCAGCAGACGAGCCTCAGTTCACCAGCAGTTGAGCTTTAAAAACCATAACTGCTGTTGTTGCCGTTGTTGCCGTTGCTGCTGTTGCTGCTATTGCTGCTGTTGCTGCTGATGTTGCTGTTGCTGTTGTTGCAGCTGTACGGCTGCTGGTTGGCGGCTGTTCGTTGGTGCTTGGTGTTTGTTGTCTGCTCACTGGAGAGGATTGACAGCATCAGCAGCCAGACGCGCAGCCTCGGAATCGTAAGCATCGCCCACCGTCTGAGCACAATCCGCAACTCGGACCTGATCTACGTTCTCAGCAGAGGTCAGGTCGTCGAGCAGGGAACGCACGTCAGCCTCATGGAGAAGAAAGGCGTCTACTACGCGCTGGTCGCCGCTCAGGAGTCCTCCCAGAAGGCGGAGGAGGCTGAGGAACTGGAGATTCCCAACCAGCCGACGGTGGCTTTCCTCCGGGCAAACTCCGGCCAAAGCGACGAGTCAGAGACCGCCCGAAAGGAGCGGGAGAAGAAGGAGGAGGCGGAGCGCGAGAAGAAGATCGCGGACAACTACAAGGTGCCCATGTCACGCCTTCTCAGCTACAACAAGCCAGAGTGGCCCGTCTTCGTGCCGGCATTTCTGGGAGCTCTTATCGAGGGGTCTGCCATGCCCATCTGTGCCATTGCGCTCGTGGGCTCCATGGATGCCTTCTTCAAGCTGCAAGTTGAGCCTTTGAGGGACGAGGCTCGTGACGACATCCTCTTCCTGTGTGCCGCCTTCCTCATCATCGCAGGCTCTGTCCTGATCGGCTGCATCATCGAGCACGGTGGCTTTGCGGTCCTGGCAGAATCAATGACCCAGAGGCTGCGCGTGGCCATCTTGACAGCCATCTTCCGCCAGGAGATTGGCTTCCACGACGATCCCGAGAACACCCCGGGGATGATGTCAAAGGCTTTGGAGCTCTGGGCCTTCCGTGTGAGCATGCTCTGCAAGACCCTGGGCGCCAAGGCGGCAGCCATGAGCTCCGTGCTTGTTGGCATCATCATCGCTTTCGTGTACTGCTGGCAAATGGCGCTTGTGATGTTGGGCACGGTGCCTGGGACCCGGACTCGGCCCTTATTTCCTTTTTTTAAGGGGTGGGGTTAAGGTTCCCTTGTAATCCCTTTAAGAGTCAAAAGGGTGCCCTTTTGATTCCTGGGTTACTCCTGGGTCTAGGTGCCCATCATGGTTCTGGCCAACGCGGTGCAGATGGTGGTCATGCTCGGGGCCTCAAAGGTGGACAACGAGGGCATCAAGCATGCTGCGCAGATTGTGGGCGACTCTGTCATGAACGCCCGGACGGTGCAGGCCCTGGGGGTGGAGACGAACCTGGTGCAAATGTACACTACGCTGGTCAGCAGGCCGCGGTTGTTTCTACACATGGCTCAAAGTATACCTTAGTTTCGAACTGTAGGAGGTCGGAGTCCCACATTGTCCTTAAACAAGTCTTCTCTTCCGTTCCCCCACGCTTTAAACCCTAAGACCTAAACCCTAAACCGTAAACCCTAAAGCCACCCCCAATCCCGACCCCCAGGTCCATGCAAGGCATGTGGAGACGGAACTTCCTTGCGGGCCTCGGCTTTGGCGTTGCCTCCGGCGTGATGTTCTTTGTCATCGCGGGGGGGTTCTACTATGCCGGTTACCTGCGAAAGGAGGGCGTGGCGAACTTCAACGACACGATGATGGCCTTCATGGGCATCTTCTATGCAGGTCTGGGGGCCGGACAGTCAGCCGTGTTCATCGGTGACGCAGCAAAGGCAAAGGCGGGCGTGCGCCTGTAAGTACCAAACAGGGCTTTGGTTTCCGGGATAATTACTAACCAATTTGCCAATCTGAAACGGATACTTTCCCAATCCCCCTATCCCCCGTGCCCGGTAAGCTTGTGCTCATTTCTTTTCTCCCCAAAAAGAGTTCTCCCTCCCTTGTCTCCTTGGAGGTGGCCTGCCATGACATGTTCAAGCTCCTGGACCGCGTGTCTAAGATCGATGGCCTGGAGCCCAAGGGTGAGGCCCCTTGGGTGCCGCAATTTATAAGGGTTAGGGTTTAGGGGTTAGGGGTAAGGGTTTAGGGGTTAGGGGTTATAGGGGTTAGGGTTTACGGGTTTAGGGTTTAGAGGGGTTTCGGGTTTAAGTCGGTCTGCTCTCCAACCCAAAGCCCTCACATCCCCTATAGTTCATCCCTAGATGTGCCAGGTCCCCAAGGAGTTGGAAGCCGGAACGATCGAGTTCGAGGGTGTGAAGTTCTTCTACCCCTTCCGTCCAGAGGTCGGGCTTGAGGGCTCAGGAATTTCATGGTCTAAGGTTGGAACCAGCCCCTTTGTTTATAGGGGGCCGAGGGCCCTTATTAGGTAACGTGTAAATAACAGGATTGTATAGTAAGGGCCCCAAATTGAAGGGCCCATACTTGGGCTTTTGGGACTCCAGGGTTGCACGCTTTTCCAGCTTCAGGGCCCGAAGCCCGGATCCCGAAACGTTTTAAGTGGGTAACCTCCTTAAAATGCGAGCATCCAATGAAAATGAGGGGGGGGGGGGGGGGGGCAGGTGGGGGGCTGTCAGAGGAAGGATCCTCCATAAGCTCCCCCATGGAATCCGACCTGGGTATTTCCCAAAATAGGGGTACCCCTTTATACCCCATAGACTAGAATCCCCTAAAAGGGAGTACCCTATTCTCGGAACCCTAAACCCTAAACCCTAAACCCTAAACCCCCACCTCAGGTGCAGGTACTCAAGGGGGTGACGTTCAAGATCCGCGCGGGGCAGTCGGTCGGCTTGGTGGGACCTTCGGGCGGCGGGAAGAGCTCCTGGGATCCAGAGATAGGGGTTTAGGGTTTAGGGTTTAGGGTTTAGAGTTTAGGGTAGGGGTAATATAGGGGTCGGAATGATTACTAATCTTCCCTGATGGTCCCATTGTAATTATCGCTATAGTAACCCCCAAAACCCTATTCCATAGTACCGGGTGGGTTTTGGTCGTTTTAGGGCTTTTTGGGGGGGTGGTTGAATTTGATGCGTCTCTTACAAGGGCTTGATCGAGGCACGGTTATGTCGCTGATCCAGCGGTTCTATGACCCGCAGGAGGGCAACGTCTACATCGGAGAGGCCGAAGAACGATTAAGTGATTGCACTGTGTTTAATCTTATAATGAACTCTTCGGAATGTGGCTGTTGCGCCAGCAAAACACACCGCATGTCCTAAATACTGCATATTCGCGCTTCATTGTTGAATCCGGGAGGCCCGCAAGCCCCTGAGTGAGCTCAATATCCGATGGTGGCGTCGACAGATTGGTTTCGTCGGGCAGGAGCCTGTGCTGTTCAATACCACCGTGCGGAACAACGTCCTCTACGGCCTCTATGCTCAAACGGTTTGGCGGTTTCGGGCGCAAATACGTGCAAATGACATGGAATGGAATGACGATTGAAGTCGTTTCGGGGATCGGCATGGTGGGAACTCTTAAGGACGGAACTTGCGTCAAGGGTCTACAGGGTGTGGGGTGTCGAGGCAACCAAGCAGCGCACCCGGGTATAATCCCTAAACCACGAAACTGCTGCGAACATTAAAGCCCTCACCACCCTTACGACTCAAAACGGCCCTCAGTCCTAGCCGCTAGCCAAGGCCTTGAAGAGGGCGAGACCGTGACTGAGGCATCTGGGCCCTTTTCTTTGTTCGGGGTTTAGGGTTTAGGGTGTAGGGTTAGGCGCCATGACTCTTTTCAGCCCTTGTGGAGTGAAGCCTTTTAACCCTGCCCAGGACTACATCAAGAAGTGTGAGGAGATGTGCAACCTCAAGTTCCTTCACTGCCATGCATGAGAGAGAGAGAGAGAGAGAGTGAGAGAGAGTGAGTGAGAGTGAGTGAGTGAGAGAGAGGAGAGAGTGGTGTCTAAGGCTTGCGGTTTAGGGTGGTATGTAGGTTTCCCTTGACAAGTCTAAGGATTGATCTGCCTAAAGCCCTGCGATCCCAACTACTGACCACCCCCCACTGGACCGCCCCCGAACATCGTTCGTGCTATTTCTGCTTTGTTGATTGTCTATTTCAGGGACCACAGAAAACCAAAGTTTTTTTCGGCAGCTCCAAGAGCAACTCGTATGCTGTCCAGGATGGGCTAGTCGGCCTTATAATCCCCATGGTCAACCCTATAAAGGGCCTTTTTTGGGGGGGAGTTCTAGGGTCAACTAGAGTCCCCGCAGTCAACCTACGGGCATTTTTGAGGGGGTTATTGGGTATAATAGCCCCTCCCTAAACCCAAACCCTAAACCCTAAACCCTAAACCCTAAACCACCCTAAACCCTAAACGTAAACCCTAAGCCCAGGTTCCTCTACAAGTCCGGCAACCGCGGTCTGGCGACTGAGGTTGGTCCCAGAGGCTCGCGGCTTTCCGGAGGCAGGGCCCTGGTCCCGAATGTACCTAGGGCTCAGGGTACCTGGGGTCTAGGGTTTAGGGTTTAGGGTCTGGGGTTACCTGGGGTTTAGGGTTTAGGGTTTAGGGTCACCTGAAGTTTAGGGTCTAGGGTTTAGGTTCACCTGGGGTTTAGGGTTTAGGGTTAGGGTTAGGGCTTAACTAAAATTTAGGGTTGGGGTTTAAGGTTTAGGATTTCGAATTTAGAGTTTAGAGTTACCTGGGGTTTAGGGCTGCCGGGGGTTTAGGGTTACCTGGGGTTTAGGGTTACCTGAAGTTGAGGGTTTAGGGTTTAGGGTTTAGGGTATAGAGTTGTCCTACAGGGAGATATTGAACTCCAAGAGCCTTTTAAGCCACAAATCCGACACCCTCGCAACCCCCAAGTGCCGTGTGCGTTTGCTTGTGGTTCTGTCACAAGGTCAGAAGCAGCGTGTCGCCATTTGCCGTGCCCTCATCCGCAACTTGGGCGCGAACGCTAGGGTTTTGGTTTTTTAGCGGGGGGGGGGGGGTGGGGGGGAGGTTCGCATTCCCTGGACAAGCCTAAAGCACACATTCCAGAGCTGTCCTTCCTATGCTCGCACTCCTGTGGGCTCTGGCTTGACAAGGGTTGCCCTTCAGGAGCTGCAGGCATCTAATTGCGCACGGGCAAATTGTGCGCAGGGAGAGAAATCGGCATCAGGCCCCTATAAGTTGCACCCCAAAACACATAATATCAGCCCTACCCCCCCCCCCCCCCCCCCCCCCCGACCCTCGAATTCTAAGCCCTCCCGACCCTGAGCCCAGGCCGCCTAGGCCTCGAAAGCTCAACTTTCGGATTCGGAGTTAGAGTTAAGGGGAGTAGAGATGCCCGTTTGTCATCTGACCCCTTTATGGAGAGGACCACCCGTCCCCCGCATCTTTGGCAAGGGAATCCGCTGTAGAGCTCATGGACCCTTTGTCTGGAGTGGCATCCTGGGCGTATGCAGAGTGCAAAGCGCGAAGTCCAGTACAATGTACGGTTCCAGAAATAGAGGTCCTAAATTCTGTACTTGCGTTTAGGGTTCAAGGCTCAAGGTTTAGGGTTCAGGCTTTAGGATATAGCTTAGGGTTTAGGCCTGGCGTTTATCTGTAGAGGTCCCCGTTCTCGGCCAATTCCGAAGCCCGCGCGGCTGAGGCAATCCTTCGGTGATGCTCCTGGATGAGGCTCCCAGATCACAATGCATACATCCGCCCCAAACCGGCCCTAAACCCTAAGCCCGCAAGCCCCGAATCCTTAACCCCCAAACCCCTCAGCCCATCATCCCCAGAAGCCCCTCTGCTTTGCTGGAAGCCACGTGATATCCTGTTTTTTTCGGGTGATATGTTGAAACCCACACACTGCAAAACTGGCACCAGTTGTTCTCCTAGGTTGCCGGAGAACGTGTTTACAAAGCCAAGGAGTTCCTTCAAGACTTCGTCTCGAGACCTCCCTTCCAAGAAAGCCCCAAGCCCCAAACCCCTCGCTTTTAGATTCCCCCCCCCCCCCTCCCCTAAACCCCAAACCCCGAACACCCTAAACCCTAAGCCCTAAGCCCGAACCCCCCCTAAACCCTAAACCCTAAACCCTAAACCCTGAACCCTGAACCCTAAACCCTAAACCCTAAACCTCCCAAACGCTTCCTTTGAGGCCACCAGTGCACTGGACTCCCAGAGTGAGCAGATCGTGCAGAAAGCCCTGGAGGCCGACGCCGAGTCTCACTCGTTTAGGGTTTAGGGTTTAGGGTTTAGGGTTTAGGGTTTAGGGTTTAGGGTTTAGGAGGGGTTTGGGGCTCAGGGAAATGTAGGGCTTTCAAGACTTTCAGGGCTTCCATAGCGGTTGGGGTTTAGTGCTTATCTTGGGTGATGAGATGCTTTACGCTTTTTCATCTTGCATCAGATGCACGTAGCGTTTTGACCCATGACTCGCGGAGGGTTTTCGGGCCTTCAGAATTCTCTTAGGGGTCTGGACGGGTTTCGGGTCTCGGGTCTCTTCTTCTTCAGGGTTTTGGAGTACTATACTTTAATACTTTTTGTTCCAGGGTCTACTCCAAAGGTGGGTTATTCAGGGTTTAGGGCCTATAGGGCCTATAGGCTTTAGGGCATTTTCTGGGACACTGAAGGCTGCACGTGATGGGCGCACGTCGTTCGCCATCGCCCACCGACTCTCCACCATCTCAAGCTGCGACGTCATCCTGGCGCCTGGTCCTTCATAGGGATTAGAGTAGCCCCCTTTCGGCATTCTAATCCCTTTGAAGGCCTGCTAGTATAGGGGGGGAACATCCCCAACTATGGATGAAGATTGGCTTGCGGATGAAGCCATATAATGGAGCTTCATTCTCAAGTTTCAAGAATATTTTGATATATATATATATATAAAAATCTATATCTATATATATATATATATATATGTCGCCCACAGGATGGTGTCCTTACTATTGGCATAATTTCAAGCTCTGTTAACAGCAGCCCAGGTGAACGCTGACGGACGCGTGGTGGAGTCCGGCACTCACGATGAGCTGATGGGGCAGAAGGGTGTCTACTACAAGCTCCAGATGCAATCGCGAAAGTAACAGGGTCTTGGTTTGGGGCTTGGCCCTAACGAAATCCACTATGTGTTTCCACTCCTCTCTTGAGAAGGCTGGCATATACTCGTGATGTGTTGAGACCTTCCGGCTCGGAGGGCTCACGTTTCACCTGTTGCCGCGCTTCGGGCTGATCTTCCGGTTCGGAGGATCTCCTTGCCGATGGTGGGTGTCAGAAGTGGGGGGTTTACGACAGTAAGGGACCCCTAATATACACCCCCAAATAGTAGGATCCCCTTAGAAAAAGGACCCCAAGAAGGTATCCCTAAAATCGAAAACCCCCAAGTTGAGTAGCCAGCAAAGCTTGCTCTCTTCGTGGCACAGGGTGCAAAGCCCAGATGCCGCGAGCTGGACCTGGTTCCAGCACCCCTTTCATTTCAGGTGTCAGCGTGCGATGGCACGCGACATGTGTATGTCGGAGTATCGGACATCTGAACCCAGTTTTCCCTGTCCGCAGCTTCGTGCGCACAGGTGACGACTGCGAACCCCTTTCAGCCGGTTAGAGTCTAGAGTCCCGTTGCTTTACAAGTACGCGACTCCTAGCAGAGTATCAAGTCCATCTAGAAGATCTCTGGCAGGCAGGGACAGGGGTCTCCGTTGATGAGACCCTGCTACCAGGTGCAAAGCGCCATCTGATGTAACGAAAAAGGCAACATGACCGAGTGCTTCTGGGCTTAGGGAGTTTCATCCCCGCCCCCTACTCCCTAGTGTTCAATGACCCCCCCCTCCCTCCCCCCCTTTAAATATCTTTAAATTCAGTTTCACATGCACGATCATATGACTGTAAGGAGGGTATTTGGTATTCGGGGGTAGGGAGGCTCTAATAGGGTGGAAGGAACTACGGTTGAGAGTTCACATTGCAACCTCAGGGGCTAGGCCTACATCATCCCGATGTGTAAGGGCAATACCGAAGCCGCACTTGGAGATCTTCACATGCCTAGGAAAGGAAATTCAGAGGACCATGAACAGGAGGGTGGTAGGATTGGGGTTCAGTGGTTCGGTACATCGGCATTTCTTCTGAAGATGCGGTTGCAAGCGGCTGCCACTTGTCCTGCGCACCGTGCTTGTGGAGGCTCTTGCGGACTGAAGCATGGTAGCAGCGCCTGAGCAATATGGGCATTTCCCAAAATAGGGGGTACCCATTTATTCTGCAAATAGAATAGAATCCCTTCAAGGGACCCCCCAAAAGGGTACCCCTATTGTCGGAAAATCCCATATGCCTCCGCGGCAGTCGATACCTTCCAACTGAGACCTTGTGGCGAGCCCTAAACTTTGACCTTGCCAGGAAATCCAGCTTCGGGTGTAGGAGAAGGCGTTAGCGCTTTAAGGGCAAACGGTTTATGGTGGCCACCCCCTCTAGAGCTACACAGTTCTTCATTCTCTAATGACGATGGGCAGATGGCTCAAGAAGAGCCGATGCTTGCAGTTTCCTTGCGAAGCTGAGTTTGCGGCGAGCTACAGGGAAAAGTGTCACATGGGCTTTCGCAGTCGCCACACTGCTCAGCTGACTGGTATAGTAGATATCTGTAAAATCGCTTGCCGCGCACTTGTCCATCTCGAACCACCGCTGCAAGCTCGCAGTACTTCATGCGCATATACAGTGTGTGTAACTACAATTTACTCAAGAACCACCACAACAAACAACAATGCCTATAATTTGCTCTTACAAGGGAGATTTTTTTTTTTGGGGGGGGGGGGGTTCTTAAGCAAATAGTCTTTCATTGCTCATTCAGACCGCAATACCGTAACTCGCTGTTAAGGCTCTCCAGAAAGAAAGCCACGCGCGAATGCAGCGAACAGCAGTATTCAACAACAGAGAGGGCCAGCTCCACCCGTCCCAACCAGAAATAATGACGATCCCTTAGTCCACTGTCCTTGGATCTTTCTCTCACTGTATTTCGGTGTATTTATGAGGACTGGTTTGAGGAATATGTATCAGAGGGCCTATGTCCAGAAGACAGAATGACGCCCAGAAAAGCGTCCGCCTTCCACTCGTCACCAGCACACACACACACACTCTGTGAGGGTTCAGGGTTTAGGGGTTAGGAAGATGCCCTTTTAAGCCCTGTAAGCCCTGGCCCTCGATGTTTACTTCAATTACTTCTCTTCCAAGTGAAAACCTGCAACCTGCGAGCCCCTTTGGAACCCGAAACTCAGACCGACTATAGGGGGCCCCCTGAAGCCTGACTCCCCAAACAAAATAGCACCTCGCAATCATCACCCCCAAGTCGTTAAGATCCTGTGATCTTGCCTGCCATGCCGTCGACGCATGGGAGGGCCCGACCCAAGCTGCTTGTGAGGCCGCAGACTTTAGCTTCGGGTTTGTGCCTGACGATCAGGTTTTAGGGTTTAGGATTAGGATTCGTTTTTTGTTTTTTTTTTTGTTGTTGTTTTTTTTTCTCTCTGGTCTACCTGCTAAGGGGGAGAGTGACCCCATAAAAAATGCACATTTCGTCAGGGCCATGGCTACCAGAAGACGGGAGATTCGGATCAGACACCCTTTGCTACACAACGACTCGAAAATCTAGTAGGACCATCAACCCTTTTGTAGCTTCAGTACTCGGTGGAGTGGAGTTTAAAGGGACCAGCAACATGTGTGGTAATGAAACCAGAATGCTGTCATTTACATAGTTGCCATCAGGAGGGCTATCGGGCTGCAAAGCCTTACAAGGCCTCAATGCTTTAGCCTTCTTGGATGTGTTTCTTGTTTCGCGGTCCTATGCCTTGTAACCATCATGAGCCCGACGACCCCGAAGACTAGGATGCCCAGTAGTACCCTTATTCCCTTTTTGGGGGGTTTAGGTTCCCTTATAAACCCCTTTAAGCAAAAAAGGGCACCCTTTTTAAGCCTAGGTTACTGGGCAGCCTAGAAGACCTTAAAGCCCTGATGACGGCAACCTCCCCATTTTTCCAAGGGCAGCCGGTCCGGTGGGAGCTGTCCTCTGCTGCTTTGTCTTGCACGTTGGCTTTGCTGCCGGGGCCTGGAGTCTTGATCGCAGCAGAATAGGTAGGGGGCTGAAAGAATGTCTTATGGCTCAAAAATCGAACCTCAGGCCCTGTAAACCTGTTTACCTATTCTAGGGCTTCAGAGATTTCTTGGCTTGGCGATCCCTAGATGCCATACACTTTAACTTTGGTTTCAATGCCTGAACTCTACACCCTAAACCCCCAAAGGTGAAACCACAGGGAAACGGAGTTTAGGGTCTAGGTGAGCTCCTAAACCCAAAGTTCTAGATTTCACCACGAGGAGGCTCCTACCCAGGCTATATCCTTACAAGACCAGCATAGTCTGAACCAGAAGACCTGACAGTAAAGAGTCCTAAGTCCGAGTCCTGTCCAAGCCTTGAACCTCGGGTGCTGAACCCTACGGCCCCCCAAGCCCTTTGGCGGATTCGGCTTTCGGTTCAGAGTTGAAAGCTCGACCCCAAAAGCCCCCCCCCCCCCAACCCCCCAAGCACCTACAAGCCCTAAGCCCTAAACCCTAAACTCTAAACCCTAAACCCAACCCACCAGCCACATAAAACCCGAGGACGCAACCCGCTGGCCGAGCCAGCGATCTGAGCGGAGCTCTTTGCGGCCGGCGTGGGCGCGCAAATCCGCCGCGGATGCTCCTTGTCTGGATCTTGCAGCTCCTTTGCTGGGCTGCCGCCCTATGTTGAAGTTGTAGAAAAAGGGCCTGCTTAAGCCCGACAGACCTAAGCCACACCTACCCCCCGAAACTTAGGTTGCCCGAACTCGGTCAGAACAAGAAACAACAACGCAAAATTGGGCATCCCTTCATTCTTAGGGCAGGCTGGGGAACCCTCAAGTCTAAACCCCGAACCCCCCTGTTGTTAACCCTAGACACCTTGATTCAGACTGCGACGAGCCTTGGATCCCTTCGCCCTCCTGGGCGTGGAGTCGACTGCGACCCGCGATGAGGTCAAGAAGGTGGGCTTTCCAACGGAGGTTTGGAGCTTTTAGAGCTTGAGGGTTTAGGTTTTCCCGGTTTTGGGGCTTCATAGGGTCCTGGCTGAGGTTTAGGGCGCTCGGCCTACGTAGGGTTTTGGGATTCGGGTTCGGGGGTTCTCGGGTTTCAGATACAACTCGAAGCAGCATTCTCGGTTTTACTCTGTGACAGGTGCTTGTTGCTAAGCTGTTATTCATCGTGTTGTGTCTGCTATCCCCACCATCGGCATGGGGCTGGTAGACTGTTGAGTCGGCCGTACCCTCGGTCTCCTTCCTGGGTCTCCCATCCCGGCGAAGTGTCGAGTGTGCAGCCCCCAGAAATTCTTAGAGCACCGCTGGGGTGAATCCCGCAGAGAGTGCCCAACCCCAACGAATCCTGCAGAGAGTCCCGCCGGGTTTCCCTGGAGCGCCCCATCCCCAAAGAGTCCGTTTAAGAAGATGCTTGGTGCGTAAGCCCCCTGAGTCCCAGAGAATACTTGCAGTGCCCAATCCCGCAGAGTATCCCCGAAATCAACCCGGAGACAAACGCGACAGAATCCTGCGGCGGAGTACTCTTAATTACCCGTCCGAAAAGGGCATGATGGCTCCCGCTTTGTTTGGCTACTTGTGGTGGGTTTATCGAAGAAAGTGTCTTATTTTGCGTTGGCTCATGTTTCCGTCGTGTGAGTATTACTTATGTGACCGCAGCGACCCAAATTCCGGAAGCCCGCTTCCCTGCAAGTCTCTCCATAATGTCGGCCTGGGGTTCAGTCCTTGTTTTGGTCTCGCCGCATGCCTGGCCCAACCTCCACAAGAGCTCAAGCAGCCCGCCGCTCCAACACTGATAATTCTCAAGACTTCCCGAGCTCTGCGGCCCCTAGCCCTGAGCGGAGGCCTTCCGCGAGCGCATTCGCAAGGCACACCCAGATGCTGGCGGCAGCACAGAGGAATTCAAGCAGGCAGGGGGCATGCTTGAAGGCTTTGCCATGTCCCCTTTGAGTGGAACTTCTTGTGTGCCTCCAAACTCCATCCAGCCTACGGCCTACGAAATTCAGCAAGGTCCGCGAGGCCTACCAGGAGGCTTTGAGCCGTGTGGGCTTCAACGTCCCCGGCGGGTCCAGGTGGGGCCAAGGGGTCGCCTTTCGATGAGTAGGGGCTTTGGGCTGAGATGGGCTGAAGTTCTTGGGTGTTCCAGAGCTTTGCTCCCTTAGTAAATGGAGGTGCCGGTGAAGGTGCTGGTGCAGCTGGTGTTGGTGGTGGTGGTGGGACGTTCTTGGGTCAAGCACATGATAGCTATGAATGTGGACCACTCCCAAAATGAGTTTGCAACATGTCGTCCAACACCTCCACCGCCAGCACCACTGCGACCTGCACCACCAAACCCTGACAACCCCCCGCCGTCACCGGCACCACCCATGTGAGGAGCCCCAAACCCTAAGCCCTTCAGAGCTATAAGCCCTCAGAACTTCAAATACCTTTATCAGACGAAATCGACACGAAGCCCTACAGGCCCCAAATACAGCTAACCCCCTGTAAGGCACCCTAAACCCCAAACCCCAAAGCATTTTGTGGTGCCAGGGCAGGCGGTGGCGCCTCTCAGTCCCAGCGACCCGGTTGGACTTTGCGCGTGCCTCGACGCAGAACCCGGAGTGGGATTTGCGGGTTAGGGTTGGGATGTTCCCCCTCATAGTACCACTTTTTTATCATTTTCTATCATCCCTATTATATAAATATAAGGACTGTTTGTATAATTACGGGGGAACATCCCAAGTTTAGGGTTTATAAGGGGTCGTCTTTATGCCTTTGCATATTCAGGATGTTTAGGCTTTGTTTTGCAGGTGTTTAAAGTTTGTTGTTTTTGTTGTGGCATTTTTGGCATCATCTTTGGAGGCTGCGTTCAATGAGCATCTCCGGCAAGTGTGGGGCACGTGGGATGTCCTTCCTTACCTTGCCTGGGTTTTGGAAGTACTATACCCTAATACTTGTTTTGCTTCTGGGTGCCTAATACGTGTACCCTTTTTTTCCAGGGTCTACTCCAAAGTAGGGTTACCTGGCCAAGGATTTCTACAAGTGGCGGCGGGAACAAGTCCAGCAGGAGAAAGATGTTTGGGTGACCTGGCTGAAGTTTTCAGCCTGTGCATGTCATGCATCATGCCAGTGCATGCGTGTGCACAGCTCTTAGTAAGAGGGATGCGCCCAGGAACTATAGATCTTTCACCGACTCTGTCAGTCAAGATCCAGATGGGTGCCCCCGAAACCCTGAAGCTGCGCAAGTGACTTGGGGTTCAGGCTGCTTTAGGGTTCAAGGGCTCCTTCTGTCCATCTTTGCTTGACCCGACAAGCTCGGGTGTTGCCGATCACGATGATGGCCACGATTGCGATGGGTTCCTTCCACTGGCTCATGGTTGTAGCTATGCTGACCGACTCTGACAGCCTTTGGCAAAGACGACCTGCAAAAGGACTCGAACGTAGACTTCTTCTGAGAAGCCCAAAATACACGCTAAACCCTCAGGGGTTGGCATCCCTTGTCAACCCCCTTTTTTAGAACCCAAGGCCGCCATTGTGGTATTCTTAGGTGGCTAGGCAGCCTAAACGGGCCGAAACGGTTTTGGGTCGGCCTCGGGGTTCAGGAGCAGGACGCGGAGGCTCGAAGCCAGCACTGGTGGCGACCTGGCATAAAAGCTTTGCAACCCTTAGAACCCCCAAAGCCTCAACGGCAGCCCAAAATACCCTTAACCATAAATCCGGAATCCGGCCACCGTGGCCCTTTTTGGCATGACCCTCAAGACCCGGACTTTGAGAGGCTCCATCGTAGAATCGATTTGAGAGGTCTCGGAGAAATCTCGTGATGCTGTTGGGGTTCATGGTTAGGGCTCACGTCAAGCACAAGGGCGTCCACGCGGCAGAACTACTTTGCACGCACGCCTTTACATGCCCATGTGCAGAAAAAAACATGAAAAAGCTGCACCCTCAAGCCTAAGACAAGTTCAGTGACAACCATTCCGGCAGCACAGGGATGTGTTGCTGGGTTTAATGCGATTTGAGATCAGAAGATATCAGAGGGAGCTTCTCCAGCAAGACGCTCGCAAGTTCCATGAATCATGAACCTACAAACCCTGGACCCCCGACAAGACTTCCGTTCCCTGTACTAAATATAAGTCGCATTAAGAGTTTACTGTTTGTGTCCGCGCCACCAAGTCTAAATCCCAAAACCCTATAACCATGTTTTTTTTTGGGGGGGGACTCTGTCCCTCTTATGGCATGGCCCTTGCATGTCAAGCCCTTTTGAAACCCCAAACCCGAAACGGTGACCATGCTCCTAAACCCTAAACCCTAAACCCTAAACCCTAAGCCCTAAACCCTAAACCCTAAACCCCAAACCCTAACCCCCTATTCATTGACCAGCTCGAGGTCCTCTGCCGAGAAGCGAGCGCAGCAGCGGAAAGGGGCCGCCAGCGCCTCCCAGGAGTGTGCCTTGCATTGGTGTTTTTTTTGTTGTTGTTTTTTTTTTTTTTTCTTGGGTTTAGGGTTTAGGGTTTGTAGGGTTTTAGGGTTCAGGATTTAGGGTTTGTAGGGTTTAAGGGTTTAGGGTTTGTAGAGTTTAAGGGTTTAGAGTTTAGGGTTTGGGGGCTGTTGGGGTTGATGAAAGTCTCTAAGGCCCCCATCTCGAGGGTGGGAAGGGGTGTGACCAGCCTTCTGAAACCCGAGGGCCATATTTTTTCCCTACGTCCGCAGTACTTGGCCAAGCAAAGGCACACCCACAACAATGCGTCGGTTAACTGGGCCCAACGCCTTAATTATAGTCGATCGCCCTCGGCCTCCAAAACTGCCAGGAGCCGCCCAAGACCGTCCGGGAGCAGAACGCCCGAATGAGAAGGCAGCACCAGGCGAGGAGAAAGCAGCGGCTGCGCGAGCGGCAGGATGACTCTGTGATGGAGTGGGATGCCTTCCTGAAGAGCCGCTCGGTCGAATCAGCATGGCTCCTCATGTGTGGCTCTGGCTTGCTGATGGGGTCCGGGTTCGGGGGACCTTGAGTTGAGGGGTTTTCACCCCCCCCCCACCCCCCCACCCCCCCACCCCCCCACCCCCCCACCCCCCCACCCCAACCCAGGAACCAATAATGGAAAAGTCCGCGAGAGTGCCAAGTCCGAGACGCAGACGCGGTCGGGACCGCCGCGTGTCTGGGCTGAAAGCACAGGGAGGTATACCATTACGGCAGAAAGATGCAGAGGTCCCACAAGGGCCCCCTTGCTAAATGAACCCCCACGTAAGCGAGTTTCCTGGCGCCCTTACCATGAGCCTTCAATTCTGCTTGAGGCCTGAGGGCCTCTTCAGGTGTGCCGGGTTTGGAATTTCGGGAAGTTGGGGATTTTGTTGGTCTGGGGTTAAGGAAGCAAGGGCACGTAGTTTGTGGAGTATAAGGGTTAAGGTTTCGCAATGGTGTATGCTGTTGAGATGGTGAGGGTCATCGTTTGACGCCAGCTCACTGTTTCAGAGTGCACTTACGTGCTGGCCTGGGCATCCATCTGACAGTCGCTTGCAAGCATGCTTGTGAGGCATGTTCTGGCCAACGGAGGCAAACCGATCACCCCAAACTTCTAAACCCGCGACCCTTGCCCGAGAACCTGAGCTCGAACCCTATCTTGGTAGCGCAGTGGTACCCGTTTTTTTGGTTCTCGGTTCCCTTTAAAAAGCCAACCCCCAAAAGGTGCCCTTACTATGATATGGTTGCTGGGCTTACCAAGCTATAGACCTTTTTCAAGCCCCAAACTCCCTCAAAACAGGGTTTAGGGTTTGGGGTTTTGGGGTTTAGGGTTTAGGACCTCCCAGGTGCAAGGAGAAATGCGGACCGGGTGGTGACGCACCGCTCCATCGCCACGCTGAAAGGCCCCGGCCTCATCTTGCGCGGGAGGGGAGAAAGGGTTTAGGGTTTATGGTTTAGGGTTTGGATTGTGGAGTGCAGTAGAAGAGCCTGAATAGCTAGAATAGTGTTTTGGGGGATGTTGTAGTATACTGATGCACGGGCCAAAAGGGAATACTATTTGTAACCTGAAGCCGTAATCCATGGTGGCCACTCTCAAAGAGCGACCATACCGATACCTGAGACCCTAAATTGCATTGTCATACGCCCTGGACCCTTTCAGATCCTTCTGATAGGGTGTGCTCACTGACGGTACCCTTTTTGAGGGCCCCTGCTGTAACGGCCTCCGCAAGGGGGCACCATTCTTTCGAGAGCTGGCCATGTCTTTGGGTTTCGACTTAGCGACAGTGGCTTTTGGGGTGTGGGTTTGTCCAAGGATTCAGGGTTCAGTTTCTTCGCAAGCCTAGGCGAGGAGCGTGTGCCGGTTTTCCAAGATGAAGGCGGAACGTGCTACTACGTCTCGCCCACTACGCGGAGGAAAGTGGTCGTGCCGAAGTAGACAAAAATCTCGAGGTGTCTGTGGTATCTCACCTTCGGAATATCCTTTACCATACTGTAGTAGGTATATCGGTAACTATACCCTAAACCCTACACCTTTTTTTAGGCAAACACCACCCGTGGAGCTGAAGGCAAGTAGGGTTTAGAGGGTTTATGTACCTGCTGGAGCCAATCCTCTCTTTTCATCGCGCCCTAGGACATTCAGCTTCTGCTATTGGGCAGAGAACCCCGAGGCCCAAAAGGTTTGTAGGCTTTAGAATATGGGCAGTTCTCTGACGGTGGTCCCAAATTTCCATAAACCCCCATCTTCGGCAGTGCTTCAGGGCCTTCGCCTTTGTTTGGATCAAGATGCGGTCGCTGTCCATCTGCCCCAGCCCTTTAACGACAACAGAACATCAACCCTTAACACACCCAAACCTGAAACAATGAACTCACTCACCCCAAAAGCCCAACGCCTTGGCTCACTTCAAAAGATCTAGCCTTAGCACGGCCAATGGCATTGCCCGTGCTCGGTTGGAGATGCCTCTTCTTCTGCAGACAGGCCTACGTTCTCGGGGAGCTTCTTGCAAGTGCGCTGTGGGGGACAGAATGGAAGCTAGTGGGAGATGTCTTCCCTCCACAGCACAAGGTGGCCTCTCACTTGTGTGAGGCGTCAGAGACATGAGCCCAGAAAAACCCTTTCCCCTCTCTCCCCATCCACGCTCCTCTGCCTTTGGACGAGCAGACTCTCAAACCGCAAAGAACAAGGGCGACAGTAACTGAGCCCGCTTTAAAGCTCTGGAAACCTATCTCCTCTCCAGTAAATATCCGCTGCGAGCACCAACTCCCAGCCCCAAAGCCCTGCTTCTCAGCGCCTCAAAGCCAAGAGCCCTCCGCCAGGTGCCGGCATTGCGGGCTCCCGGGCAGGTGCGAAGCCACCTTGAAAACTGAAGAACGTTACTCGGTTACTTAAAGACCTGCGATCCTTTGCGGTCAAGGGTTCTTTAGTAACCTTATACAAGCCTTCAGCAGATTCCCTACATCCCGCCGCCCCAGGTCCTGAACCCTACACCCCATCCCTTGGTTTTCAGGTGGCATGTGGCTGGCGTGCCATAACCCAAGCCAAGGCAGCCACGGTGGGGGATGCCCGTTTTCGGAATTTATGGCTATGCTAGGAGGGATCCAGAAGCTTTGTAGTATTTAAGGCGTCTAGTTCAGGGTTTCGGGAAGAAGATGGGGGCGGTGCCTCAGTAGTTCCTTGCTATAGACCGTTTTTAGGGGTTCTAAGAGGAGAATATCCCGAAAGCCTAAACCCTAATCCCTACACCCTAAACCCTAAACCCTACTGGTCATTCTGTGTGTATGGGTGGTATGGAGAGCCATGTTCTCCAGAGACTCGGGAGGCTGTCGAGACTGCGCCGGCCATCGCCGGCTTTGGCATTCCCGAGGCCGGCGTGCCTTCGAGGGTTTAGGGTTCAGGGTCTAGGGTTTCACCATTATGGGATTTGATTTGGGATGTTCCCACTAACAGTCCTTATAATAGGGGGTACCATAATTCCTATTCAGGACTGTTAGTATAAGGGAGACCATCCCTAGATTTTAATCATAAGGGTTTGTGGTCTAGGGTTCAGGGGGTTTATTATAGGGTTCAATCCGGAAGTGTATTAATCCTGTAGGGTTTTCATTATAGGGCCCACGATTGGGATCATCGGGCTGAATTCTCAGGTTCATCCTAGGGTTTAGGGTTTAGAGTTTAGGGTTTAGGGTTTAGGGTTTAGGGTTTAGGGTTTAGGGTTAAGGGTCTCGTTGTTGGCAACCCTTCCTGCACCATCAGTGAAAATGCCGAGCCCGAAGATGCCGCCCTTCAGCACCCCGAGTGCCAAAGTTAGGCCTTGCCTTGCTTGCAGGGACCCGCAACTAGGAAAATCAGTTTGACAATTTTTCAATCCGCGTTTCTCATCACATGCCTGTACCTGGGGCCAGTATTGGGTCCTTGTCATGTTGGGCTCCCTTTGAGTCTCATCTTTTACAGTTTAGTCCTTCTTATAAGGGCCTATTAAAAGGGTGCGAAAAAGGCAGGGGGTCACATTGTCAGATGAAGCCTCCTCCGTGCCAGGCCACTACCGGGTCGGCAGACCATCTGCCTCTCACGAAGCAGGTAGCGGGCTGTAGATACCAAGGCCCTATCGGTTCTTGGCGGGACTTAGGGAACACCAGGCACCGACTTCCTCAAGAGGCCCTGCAAAAAACCCAGCAGGAAGCCCTGAGCCCGGCCTTTTTTGTGGGTTGGCGTTGCTTTCAGCAGAAGTGCCATGAGATAATTCATACTATTACCAAGAGGGTTCGCAGTATACCCAAAAACTATCTAAGATATGTATGGTCGGATACTTTGAGTGCCTCTCCCTCACAGGGGAAGCGCCAGATTGCCGTCATGCGAGCCTCTGTACATGTTCTTATCCGTTCAGGACTCCAAGAAGCCCACATGGAGTTGACGTACTGATTGATGGAGGAATTTCTCGACTCCCTGAAGCCCAATTTCCCCAAATCTCATGCTGGAAAGCTCTAACACCTGATGTCGTGTTCAAGAAGCTCAATTCAAGCAGACAGCCCGTAAGCAAGTGCACGCCATTGCAAGTGGTGGGCCCTGGGAGAAACCCTAAACTCTAAACCCGAAACCCTAAACCCTAAACCCCACCCCCCGTCGCAGGGCCTACTGCCCGAAACTGTACCCGAGGCTGGCCTTGCTTGCGGAGGGGGAGCTTACGGTTTGCCAGGGGTGTAGTTGGGTTTTGGTTTACTTGGGCTTTGGTGTTTAGGGTTTCCTAGGTGTCTAGGACGTCATGAGGAGTGTTTGTAGAAAGGTGTGTTCTCGGCTCTCATCGGATGGAAACAGATGTTGAAGTTGGTACGTGAATTGGCTTCGTTTCGGCGGGCATATTGCCATATATATATATATATATATATATAGATAGATAGATACATACATACATATACACATATACACATGCGCACAGGTCTACATATATATATATATACACATACACATATACACATACATATATGGGTGGGTCCGCATGTATATATGATTTTAGTGTTAACCGTTAGCCCTCCACGAACCATCCTGCGAAGGCCGTGAAGCTTCTGCAGCAGCGAGCGCAGTACTCCTGGCCATGATTTGCGGGGTGTATTAGGATCAGGATTAGGGTGTATGCTGGTTACCCTCAGCCCTAAACCCAAAACCCTAAACCCTATCCCCTCAACATGAGTTGATTGGTTCTGGGGCTGAGCTTCGCAGGTTGGAGTTGCTGCATGATCCTGTGCGTCTGAGGCCAGCTTATGCCTTATGCTCCTCTTGTTTCTATTTGCGGATTTGCTTTGCTTTTTTGTTATAACTGCTACTGTTAATAATTATCCTGATTGCTACTAACTAGTAGCATTGTGATTATAACTATTTGCCCACCTGTCAAGTCGCCCCCCCCCCCCCCCCCCCCCCCGGCTGCTTTTGGGATGGGGTACTTGGTAATTTACGCTCCTACTTTCTAAATCCAGCATGTCATGGCAAGGGGCGGCCCACTCACAGACGCCTCGGAGGCACGCGACATCAACGGGTAGGTACCAGTAGATTCCTCCCGAACCTTTCATAGGCCCTAAGCGACACAGGAAGCCACTGCAGCCGTAGTCTCCAAACCACGGACTTGTGATAGTCGGTCAGTGAATGTCTAAGAGGGTCGAAGTTCGGAGGGCTGTGTGACGTTTGCTGGTGTTTACACATGAGGCGTGCACTCGTTAAGCTTTGTGGTGAGCGATGTTGTTGAAGATCAAGACGACCAGTTGGCCACCCTGAACTTAGCTTTGTCGGGTTTGGGGTTTCGTGTTTAGGTTTTAGGGTTTAGAATTTAGGTTTTACAAAACCTTTAGGGCCACGATCTTGGACTGGCTTGTGAGCACCACAGTCTCGAGTCGAGCCTTGAGCAACATCTCGAGTTGTAGGGAGCATTAGTGCGAAGCGAAAATGAAAGTACACACAAAGAGAAGAATATTGTAAGATAAACACATAATGAAAGAATATCAGGATAATGTGCGAGCAAAACAACTTTTAGCAAAATGATAATATAAGTCTTGGGCTCATAGGCGTGGAGGCTTTGACTGTCTGATGAACCGGGTTGCACCAAACTTCTAGATAACTAATTGGGCTTTGGGTTTAGGGTCTTAAGGTCGCGGGCCTGGGCTAAAGGGGGTGGAAGAAGCAGTTGGATCACATGGAACCCTCAGTCAAACATGGCGACTACGGGATGCGAGGGCGCCCAGCATCGCTGTAGCAGGAGTAGGCAGCGGACGTCGATGTACTACGAGATAACGTCGTGTGGACGGCATGGAGAAGGTAGCAAATACGCAGCAAGCACGCCGCAGGTTCAGGAGTTAGCCAGGGCCTCACTCAGTTGCTTCGCGCCCTTGCTTGCAACGTGAGGCTGGGTATTCTTGTAGGAAAAGCTATGTCAGCATGTTGACCCCACCTGAAACATGACTTAGCTCAACCCCTACGTGGACCACCGCCCATGATTTGGTTTAGTGCCGAATTGTGTACTTGATGGCTCCGGGGTAGCTAGAAGTACGGTCAAAAGAGCCCCTTATCCAGTTTTTTTCCAAGCAAGGGCAAGTCGTACATGTGCAACTAGCGTGCACGGGGGGGTGGAGGGACTCCCTTCTCTTGCAGCCGCCTGGTTTTCAGGCTTGCGCACGGGGTCCATGTTCACTCCAGGTCAATCAAGCCCTCAGGCCCGGCCCCCGAATCCAAAAGCTTCACAACCTCCAGGAACCCAGAAGCCTCAACCTCGAAGAAGCAAGCCTACAGCTCCTATACCCTACACATGCCACCACCCCACCCCCCCTCCCCCCCAAACCCCACGAATTTGGGATTTCGAAGCTTTGAAGCCCATGCCCGGCCCACCTCCGCCATGGCATCCCCCAGTGGACGTGCCGGCTTCTCAGCCGCCCCAGGGTCAGGAGAGCGCCTGCAAGCCA